TTTAGAAGTAATGAAAAAGTGCCAAACAAATGATGAAGTAAGGCCTGAGCTTTGGGCAAGTTTCGAAAAAGGAGACTTGAAGTGGCGTCAATAAGAGGAGAACTGATACTTGACAAGTCACATGAAGTATCTCTTCGCAATGGCAGAGAATACCTTCAATATTCTACTCAAGATCTACGAGCATAACAAGCCTTCTAATATTTTTTTGTATTTAGGGTGATTTGGAGGCCTTGGAGGAAAATATGGAGGATAACGAGGGGGTGACGGAGAAGGAAAAACGGAATCTTGGAAAATTGCAGTTCTCTCTCGATTACGACTTCACAAAGGGCGAGGTATGCAAATGTGTGATTTTCATTGGCTGCATCCACAGAAGGTGCCGCCGTCTTTCGGTACTTGGAAATAGAGGCTCGGAGTGGCGACCTATCACTTGTCGCATTTCACTACAATCTAAATAAGTGGCAGTTTTATTTGGATGATTTAAAGTAAATTTCCAGCATACGATAATTTGTGCATCAAATCAGTCTTTAAAGTTTAAAGGCGAGCCCTTAATTTTGACGGCTAAACTAATGCAAAATAATTTAATGTAGAGGACTTTAGCACTGGTGGCAACACAAACCAAATACACTGCTTTAGAAGGTCCGTAAACCCTCTCAGAAAAAAGTCATGCCGACACCATAAAGGAGAAGTAAGGTGGCGTCCTGGTCCATCGCTCTTTGTAGTTAATTAATCAGTTAAACGTTCAAGCGGCTCTGAGTTCTATTTAATGTCAAAAAGATGCCAGTGAAACCTTCAGAAATCGGCTTTCCCACCCGGCAAAATGTCAACAAAATTCCATTTATGATTGCGTTGTCTCATTAATACGGCACAAGGAGCGAAAGAGAAGGTAGCCAAAATCACATAAATTTCGCTATCACTCGTATAGAGCAAAATTGGACAATAAATGGGCATGAAAGTGGCCCAATTCCTGGGTATCCCACACGGTGAAGTGTACAATAAATGAGAAATGAAGATTATATCAGATAATGCGTAAAAACACTACATTCACCCTATTCAGACATTTTAGTTAAAAGACTTGCAACTAATGAGCAGTTAGCCACATTAAAAATGCTTAAATGCGTGCAGAAGGCTATCCCTTTTCAGCTGACAGTAGGGGTTATCCAGGCTACCGATCTGCCTGGAATGGATATGTCCGGCACCTCCGATCCCTATGTCAAGGTCTATCTAATGCCGGAAAAAAAAAAGTTTGAGACCAAGGTTCACCGCAAAACTCTGAACCCCGTCTTTAATGAGACATTTTTATTCAAGGTTAGTGCTTGCAATACCAGCCGCTGCTTCTGTATTCTCGAAATTTTAGGAAATGCCTTTTTTTCCAAATCAGAATTTTCAAGCTATGTTGTGTTCATAAAGTGGTGGGTGATTTGTTATGAAGTTAATTAAATGTCGCGAGCCATAACAGGATTCCTAAGTGCAGTATTTTAAATTTCACGGATGAACGCCTCCCCGCTAGCCAATCAAGTGGCTCCGGGATGGGGTAGCGTCAAGACATGCTGAGAGATTGCACCTGAATGGAATGTATGATAAACTGTTAGCTATAAAAGTCAGAGGAAGGGATCCAGTAAAAGAAGGGTTATTTTATACCGCTTTTGTTTTTACTCATTCTGCATTCTTGACTGCTTTCTGTCAGATGGAGAGTGATAAAATTCATCAGCAATTTGTGTATAATTGGTAATGGAGGCTCTTAACTTTGTCGCCAGCATTTTAATGGGACGATAAAAGCTTGTCATATCATGATAGTAATTTGGGATAAAACTCTGAGTTCTTGAGTAGGTTATCTCCTTTCAAATGCGATATTGAGTTTTTGATAAGTTATAGACATTGCCTAGTTTTACTTGTTCTAATCCAAAACATTAGTGCACGTGGGGAATAACCGCATGAGCTTCTAGGTACTGGTCTCGTTGACTCTCCGGACACTAGTCAACTCCGCCAAGTTCAATTATTTTGCCATACTTTGGTGAACGAGGGCTTTCACTTGCTAGGTCTTTTTACCCCTGAAAGTCTAATCGGCAATGCCATCACAATACGGAACCATGATGAGAGAAGCACAACGTGCCAGCCATATGCCTGATGCTAATTTTGTCATCGATGTCCGTCTCGGTTTTAGCAGCAGCAAATTACTTGAATTGCAGTTAACTCCACGATTGGTTGTTGCAGTCTGCAGGGCCATGCAGTTATCTCAAGCACTGACCAATGGGTGGAGAATATTGGTGTACATTTTGGCGTTGTCGTTTGAATTGCCACTTCACTGCCAGCAAACAGAGGGCGCAGGATGGGAAGCAGTTCGTGAGCTAAAAATACTACCATCAATATGGCGCATTTTGCTTTATGTTAGTGGAAATGTATGAAAATGGACAATAATTAGACGCAGTCTAACAAATTTGATAAAATAAAGGCTTTCTGGGTAGGCATTGGGGATGATTAGGCACCTCCTTGGCAATTACGAGGCCGTAATTGTCCGGCCAAAGGCAATTAACGAATCTGACTTGTTTAGGACCTGGTTTAAACATAGTGCAACAGTCTTCTTCAATTGTGGCCTAAGGAGGACAGCAAAGTCTGTTCGTTTTACAAAGGTTCACAAAATGAAAGCAATAAAATAATTGGCGCTTATCAACAGCAAAGCTGCTAATAGATGGCATTAGTTATCTATGGGCACTTCAACAAGCTCTACAAACAAGCTCCCAAGGTAAAATACCTTCCAATCTCCGACTCGATTATGATGGTAGCCCTTCCTGTCCTGTATTAACTAGCAAAGTGAGGCACATTTTTGATAAATCGTGCAGTTTGCCAGCATGAATTGCCAGTTTGAATTATCAATTCATTAGAGAGCACTCAAAAACACAATTATGTATTCATGTGCGCGGATAGGAAGACAATTCTGGCTGCTACCAATCACCGAATGTCCGTACAAGTCAAACTTCTAGACACTTTCGCGTGCTGCTTATTAATTGCATGCCTTTATAGACCATTATACGCGTTTCAAAGTTCCTAATAACCGCTTGATTCGAGTCTGATGAGTTAGAACTTCGGAAGTTTAAAAGCACAGGCAACAGATAGGTTTTTTAAACTGAGCTTTAGGTTTTATCATCTACTTTATTTCTATTTTTGCTTATTGTTAGCATATATGCAGCATTTACACTAGAAATCTTCCACTTAAAGAAATTTTTCTATCCTATAAGGTTCCTTATGCCGAGGTTGCAGGGAAGACTCTCCGTTTTAATGTTTTCGACTTTGATCGCTTTTCAAAACACGACCAAATTGGTCAAATTGTGGTACCCCTCGGTTCAGTCGATTTGGCTCGAGTGATTGAGGAATGGCGGGACCTGCTGCCGCCAGATGACGACGAAAAGGTGATCAAGTTGCCTCTATCATTGTCACTCTTTGTTCTTCACCAACACTGAGGTTGGAATTAAACTTTTTCCTACCTAGGAGAACAAACTTGGAGACATATGTTTCTCCCTGAGATATGTGCCCACAGCTGGAAAACTCACTGTCAATATCTTGGAAGCGAAGAATTTGAAAAAGATGGATGTTGGTGGTCTATCAGGTTAGGTTAAGTACAGTCTTTCTCAGATTTAAAATGATAAGCAGTAGCATTAGTATGTCATTCCTCTTCTGACAGATCCCTACGTGAAACTGTCCCTCATGCTTGGAGGTAAACGAATCAAAAAGAAGAAGACCACCATTAAGAAGTGCACACTTAACCCATATTATAATGAATCGTTCGCCTTTGAAATTCCGTTTGAACACATTCAGGTGAGTTTGTCTACTTTTATGAGCCATTTGGGGGCCATAAACACCTCCTTCACTGTTGATTGAACTTTTTTGCAACAGAAAGTGATGCTCATAGTAACGGTGGTTGACTATGATCGAATCGGCACTTCGGAGGCAATCGGTCGAGTAGTGCTTGGTTGCAACGCCCAAGGTGCAGGCCTTCGTCATTGGTCTGATATGCTGGCTAATCCGCGCCGACCAATTGCACAGTGGCACACTTTACAAGAGATGCCAGAGAAGGGTTAATCTCCCTTCCCCTTCTCTCTCATATCAGCCAATCATCTGTCCAACTCGTTCGCTCTGCGTCTATCCTCTTTTGTCAGACCAATCACGTGAACAAAACAATGCGTACGCACTACCTGGCGCCATCCTAAATGCGAGTGCGTGCGGGCATCGTCATCGTGGTGTCCTTAGTCCTCTGTTATCGCCTACCTTTTCTCCTTCCCCTCGTTCCTGTTATACCAAGTTGTTTGTCTCTGATTACTACCTACTCCACAGTCTCCAACCTCCTTTACCTCTTCCAATCTATCAACTGGGTGATATTTTATCTTATTCTCCCAGTCCACTCACCGTAGTTTATTCGCCCACTTATCCTCTCTTTCCCCCTATCTTTTAACTTTACACAATAGTAATCCCTTTTACCCTCTTCCTTACTCTTTTATTATCACTTCTTCTTTCTCCCTTCCATCTTTTTGTGTGTCGTTGGTGCTTTTTGTATGATGCAATCTTGACCACACACGGAAACCTACGAATACACAACATACACATAAGCTGTGTGGTTGTCAACGTGCGACGAGATCGCCTAAGTATGTCTTACTCTAACCATTAATAAAACAAACGGAATGTTAGTCTCAGTGGCGCAACTAGGTATTATCAGGGAGCATAATTTCGAAGATGTCGAGGTAGCTGGTCGATCGATAAAACAGCTACGTGATTAAGCTGCGTCAGAAGCATTAATCGATCGAATAAAAATTGGCAGACGGAGAGAGCCCATTGGTTATTGAGAATAAATTAACCCAAAATAATGGATCGTATTAGCTGTCTCTGCAGGATGTGAAGAAAATATTTAACATTTTAGTTTTCTGACAGCATCCTTGTAGACATCTACATCATGAAGTATAGAAAATAATAGTGGTGTTTCAATTAAAAAAAGCTTTGCTTCTTTTTTTGGAAAAAGAGCGAATAATAGTAAACAGAGATTTTTACCACGTCGTGGGATTGGGTTGAATAAGAATTGCTTGGATGATTGTGACTTGCACGATGACAGGTCGAATTTTTTTAAGCTAATACTATTAATAATAAATCACCTTTCTTGTGTCAATTTCAAGAACTACTTTAAAAATACCATCTTTATAAAAGACTGAGTTTTTAAGATGGTGGAGGGATCCCATTAGATCTTTAGAAAAGGATGTGACTTCATACGATTAAATTTAGCTGTAAAAATGATTTAAAAGTCGGGAATTTTGCTGAAACTAAAAAGAGTAAATGCGTTACCAATGGGTTTCAAATCCTTAACTTCACTGTACCTATCTATGGCCGAAATTTTTCCAGGGCATGTTTAATAGGTCAGGTATTATCTTCTAATGGAAATAAACTTGGAATTTTCTTTATTGACTGAAAATGGGGGAATTAAGTAGAAACTAATCGTAATTGCCAAGACTGTAAGGGTGTCCTTGCATTAAAGACAAAAAAAACTACTTAAACTACGAAAGTGAATTTACTCTGGACTCCACCTCTAAAGTAAATTGTCGAGCCAATCAGTACGGCAACAAAATATGTCAAAATGTTGATAGAGATGAAGAAATTACGCTCGGTCAGTAAGGAGTTGACAACATCTAACGTCAGTAGAAAACGAATATTTTAAGATCAGGTTCGGCGCAAATTTTCACTGGTCTAATAGCACTAACTGCGCGTTAATGCTTCCATGTCCGTCAGCATACTTGTATTCGAACATCTAAACGTTGGACACTAGAAGCACAGCGCGATGAAAGCAAACACTAGCAACAAAGGCCTTCACTAAAGGAACAGAGACTAGGATACTTACATTGCCCAGCGCAAAACGAAAGGACTATTAGGCTGTTGCCGACATCAGAGTAGTATTACTGTTTTTTTCAGCCCACCATAAATTATTAAGCAAAAACATCAGCTGTAAAAGATGTTGTTTAATTAATGAAATGCGTTCAACGAGATAGTTGGAAGCTCTAACATTCTACGGGACAAAAATAAAAGCTACGTGGGGTAGGCTACATGCGCAAAATTAGAAAATTGAAGAAAACTGACAACAATTCAACAAAAATATCAACTACAAGTATTTCTTTGTGAGAACAAAGAAGGACAAGCACAAAAAAAGCTAATAATTTCAGCTAAGCCCACTAATGTAAGGCCATTACTGGATAGTCACTCTGGAACTGAATAGTAGCACTTTCACTTCGAACGATTGACATCCACAATTACATCATCTTGCTCCTCTGCTGAACCTTGGTCCACGGTGTCTAAACCTTGAGTAGCTAAATTTGAACTTTCCTTGGGCGGATCCAGACCTTCGTCCACTATATCCGGAATGTCATGTCCGGCACTTTCACCTACACTTGGCTCAATGATTCCAAGGCCTAAGTATGACTCCACGACCTTTGTATTTAATCCTTCTTTTGCTATGTCCACATCCTCAACCTCCGGAATCGTAGGCTTCATCTCAAAACATGAATCCTTGAGCATTACATCAGAGGCTTCCACTAATTTTTCCTTCTCCTCCACCACCGAAATCGTAGGTACAATGTCTGAACCAAAAGCCTCAGCCTTCGCCGCCGGAACCGAACTTCCCGTGTCTGTACTTGGAGTCTCGATCTTCACATCACCTTCTCCCTCCGATGCATCCTTTGCTTTCACCGCTGGAATCGTACTTACCGTGTCCGTACTTGGAGTCTCGGCCTTCAAATCACCTTCTCCCTCCGATGCATCCTTTGCTTCCACCGCCGGAATTGTGCTTTCCGTGTCTGTACTTGGAGTCTCGGCCTTCACATCACCTTCTTCCTCCGATGCATCCTTTGCTTCCACTGCCGGAATCGTGCTTTCCGTGTCTGTACTTGGAGTCTCGGCCTTCACATCACCTTCTTCCTCCGATGCATCCTTTGTTTCCACTGCCGGAATCGTGCTTTCCGTGTCTGTACTTGAAGTCTCGGTCTTCACATCACCTTCTTCCTCCGATGCATCCTTTGTTTCCACTGCCGGAATCGTGCTTTCCG